AAAACTAAGAGATAACATTTTAACAACAGTAAAACGTTGACATTGTTGGCACAGCATGCTTTAAATATAGTCAAAAAATCGACTTGAAGGACTTATATTTTCTGAGTGTCGCACCCATTAAGTGTGCTTGCCTTGTCATTGGGATTTCTCAGGTGGTCCTTGAGCTTAAGAGCAGACTGGTACGGGAGCCAATCCTAAATCCCTGAAGATTCTATTAATATCTTTTATGTATATCAGATTTAAAGGTGTTGCTGTGTTCTTCGTTGTCTCCCTTTCATATTGAAAAGTTGTGGAAGCCTGCATGTCAGCATTGAAGCCATGTACCCTGGCGTAGAAGCGGCTGGCCCTTAAGTTCTAAAGAGCTGCAGAACTGCCAAAACTTTTGTCTTAGCAGAAAAAAGCAGTAGTAGTTTGATCATCATTTATTTTCCATATATAGAAACAATACCGGCAACGCTGCCCCCGCAAGACACGGCGTCGAGTCTGGTTTGTATTGAGAAAGAATTATAATCGACCAATTGTGTACTTGTCATTTTCGTCGCGACCGCAGCGTAACATTATTCATGGGCCAGTTGAAAAGGGTCTGTGCACTACTTCGACACAAGCCGCACGCGCTTGCTATTGTCTCTCTCTACCAAATTAAATGCGCGATTTAAACATACGCATGTGCTGCACGTTATACAGATCCGTACAGATCTAATGCGAAGTACGATATCTGATTGGTCGGTCGGTGCTGCGCCCTCGGCGGTATAGGCATATTGGTCTTGTCGCGTGACGTGGCTTAAAATTTGGATGCGAAAAATTTTTAGGTATTTTGGGTCTTAGTTGAGTGACTAGTGACTTACTGACTGACTATGGCTGTGTAGAAGGGTAGTGCAAGAGAATGGATGTGGTTTACAGATTTATCAGCGTGAAACGATTCTGGAAATACACATTTGAAGAAAAAATTGAGCTGAAGGTGTTAGGTCGACCGCTGCCACACATATTTATAGAAACACAGGGCGTTAGTTGGGGCAAGGGCTATACGCGGCATTTCAGCAGGAGATTTACACCAGAAATGACTGGATTTGTGGGTGCAACAGGAAGAATGCCCTTTTCTGCTTTCCTTGCATACCTTTCGGCGGTGACAAAGCTTGGACGGAGGTAGGTGTTACAGATTTAGTGCACCTGAGTGAAAAAGTTAAGAAGCATGAAAACTCTAAAACACATCTTCATAATTCGATGGAATTGGTTTTATTGGGGACTATTAACATCAGAGCTCAGTTAGATTCAGCATATTGGAGAAAGATACAACAGTATAATGATACCGTTACAAAAAACAGGAACGTTCTATCAAAAATAATCGATTGTGTAAAATTTTGCGGAGCATTTGAATTGGCGCCACGGGGCCACGACGAAACCTAGAGCACCCAAAACCCGGGAATATTTCATAAACTGATTAATTTTTCTGCTGAGCTTGATACAACCTTAAGCGAACACAAAAAATGCTTCAATATTTAAAGAAATACGAAAGAAATACAAAACGATTTACTGGATTGTATTCTTGAAGTTTGTCATAAAGAAATAATAAAACAGATTAACAGAGCCTCGTATTTGGCGATAATAGCAGATGAAACAACGGATATTTCGGGGAAAACCCAACTGGTAACAATTTTCAGATACCTATTCAATGGCGAACCAGTAGAAAGTTTTTGGAACTATATGAATCCCGAAAAATGTGATGCTGTTACTCTCACAAGACATATTCGTAGATCCATTAATAGGAAATATCCCTAACAAACTGATTTCACAGAGCTATGATAGAGGCGTGGTAATGAGCGGACATAATGCTGGAGTACAGGCAAAAATTAAACAAAGATATCCATTTGCTCACTATGTGCATTGCTATGCGCATCAGTTAAACCTGATTATGTCCCAAGCTGCTTCCGCAAATGCTCAAGTTCGGGTGTTCTTTGGAGATTTGAAAGATATTCCGGGATTGTTTAATACTTGTCCTCAACGCGTAGAGGTACTGAACAGAATTGCGGGGAAAAAATCCTCAAGGAGCAACAACTCGTTGCAATTTTAATATTCGGACAATAAATGTAGTGTTTGACAGCATAGAATCACTCATTGAATGCATGGAAGAAATAGAAGAAAATTTCACTAATCAAACCGTTTGCAAGGCAGCTTGCGGTATTCGCCGTATGTTAAACGATTCTGTTTTCGTGTTTTGGTTGACATTTTTTCATCATGTCATGCCTCACGTCGACATCTTGTTCAACCAGTTGCAGAAGAGAAAAACCGAGCCAGCGCAAGTTAAAACGGCTATCGATAATTTTAAAAAATGTATTGTCGCTGTGAGAAATAAAATTTATGACAACAAAAGGAGACGACGTAATAATAGCAGTCACGATCACCGAGTTGCTGCATTAGAAGTATGCGACATTATAGTGAATTCTGCAAATGACAGATTTCAATTCAAAGATCATTTGGTAGCCGCATCCTTTTTTTTCTCCGAACACTTTGGGGAATACTGTGGTAAGTTTCCTGATGACAACTTGGAAACTACCTGCTTGGCTTATCGCAAATTAGAAAAAAGTCGTTTAAAGACAGAGTTGTCTGTTATTTATGCACGGAATGATTGCCGAGATTTACATGGAACTCTGTATCTTTTGAAATTTTTGATACAAAATAGTTTGGAGGAAACACTAAAAGAAACAAAAAAGCTATTAGAAATTATTGTTACAACTCCTATGTCAACATCAGAGGCTGAGCGAATTTTCTCAACATGGAAAAGAATCAAGACTTTTCTTCGAAATACTATGACCCAGGATCGCCTTACAGCGTTGTCGATGCTGTCCATTGAGAAAGAATTCATTTCGACCATGGAAAATTTCAGCTTCTTTGACCGTATTTTTTTCTTCCTGGAAAATTGACTAGCGTGTGACTCAAAAAATTAGAACTAGACTTCTTACGTTGGGTGCAGTGGTATGAATACATAGTGCATTACGTTTGCTTCTGTTCTGTGACAAACCATGCTAGCTAAGTTTTTTCGAAAAGAAATATATAGATGGGCTTTACAACAGAATTTTTTTTGTGAGGGTAAATGAAAATCCTTCTCTTGCCGAGATACAAAAAAATTTGAACGACTTTTTTATTAACCGCCAAAAGTTCAAAACCATAACTTTGCAAAAAACAATCAGGATTTAGTGAAATCGCTAGGGAAAGTTGTGAAGTATGAAAATACCAAATGAAATAGCTCATATGTTCAATTTGCTGTTGCGGTTAATTTTTTATTCCAAAAAATCGAAAATTTATCAAATTTATTTTCTACAAAAAGGTGAACATCGCAAAATATCAAATAATTGTCAAAACGTAAATTCTTTGAGGTAATTACTATCCACGAAAAAGTTCTCAAAGATGCTTAACATTTTCTGAAAATTTGTTTTGCTAATCGTCATTTTTTACAAGCTTTCTAGCTACGTATCCACTGTAGCAATCTTAAAGACATTTTCATCCTCTGCAGCTTATCTGTAGCCGACTAGAGGAATACTTCATGATTTTTTTAATGTTCGCGAATAAGTGATTTCCCAACTTTGAGATTTAATAAAAAAGTTACCCAGCAATATTTCGGCATATCTAGGTAAAAGACGTTTTTATATGCCTGAGATGGTGAAAGGATCTGCGCATTTCAGATCTAATATCGTACCATGAGAAGAAACCTGGAAGTAAAAAACTGTAAGTCCACCGGTCGGTTTGGAATATATCATTTAAATTTATCTAGTATTATGTTTAAAATTCTAATGGTGGCTAATACTGTCAATAATAAATTGTCATTGCACCAACGTCGTCACTGAAACGTATGATAAACAGAAATTAAAACATAGATATGTACTCGTAGTTAGATTTGGACCGGCACTGGAGTCCAACGAACATAAAAATCACAGGATGAGTTTAGCTACATTACAGAAACGCAAGATGTCAACTTAGTACTAGCTGTTGTACACTTGATCTGAACTCGTTCCGTGTTGCCTAAACGTCATGAACCTCAGAGTAACTTTACATACCATCTCAGCATTCTGCAACCAACAAAGCATGATGGGGAACTAACTTGCAGCTTGCAGCATGGTCATTGAGTATGGTATGTCGTACTTGGACAGTAAAATCAATTTTGAGGAGATCAACGCTTGCTGACATTTTGAAGATGTTAACGGATTTGTTTTACTTTTAAAACAATGAATGTAGCCATTCATGTCATAAATGTGGTTAAAAGTAGAATGCCAAATAAACATGCACTTGATATATTACTATGTTGTTTGATCAAACGTAACGAGTACGGTGGCGTGAGAGTGCACTCGGTTGAGTACCCGGTGTGTCCAAACACATCACCGAGCACTAACTTTATTTACCATTTGATTGTACAACAGAGTAGGAAAATGTCACACATAAAAAAGGAATACAAAACTAATTTGCCTAATTTGTCCTGAAAAAGCTCGCCAAATTTATGATATGGGTGAGAAACCAAAAAATCTTCACGACGTCTCCCGAAAATTGTATAAGCATGCTATCTCTAACTGAGGTTGGTAGGTGATTCTAATCGTTTACTCTTATGTAGTTTGGACCATTATAACTGATATTTAACTTTGCTAGAGGGATAAACAGATTATTTTTATACCGTGTATTCCTAAGATGAATATCATAATCATTTTTGAATTGTATTCTGTTTTTATAGATGCAAATACTGATCCCATGAATGTGGAGACAGGCAAGAGCGATAATGTTTTGGTTTTTAAACACCACGCGACACGATGTTGTGTCTGAGATACCAGCAATAACCCTAACAATATTTTTTGTGAGATAAAAACTGAATCTAGACGGGTCGATGTTCCCTAAAGAAAGATTCAATACCTGAGTCTGCTACCAATTAATGCATAATACATACTAATGAATTGGCTGCTATCAAAAACAGTTTTCAAGTTACGAAACATATAAGCATATGTATTTTTAGTTTTATCGCATTAAGATTTCCATGTCTTAATACAATCATCAAAGAAAAGACCGAGTAACTTGACAGCTTTATTTGCTGTTTTGGTAATTCCATTACACCAGTTTTGGCGGAGATATGATCAAACGAGCGACAATTCCGCTCAAATGTGTTATCGTTTCCAAAGCTCCTAAACATATTTGGAAATAAAGACAACGAAACTAAAGGGTAATGACACAATTTTTAGTACTTCTCAAGAAAACTATCGATTGTCTGCTATGTTAGCAAATAGGCATTCCAGATACTGATGCCGGGATACTTACACGATTGCAAGCCAAATGCCCACTAGTCTTCTCAGCTTGGGCATTTAGTTTTTCTATATAGTAAGGCAAGGTCTCTTTGGATAGGATTTCACCTCTGGCTTTCTTGATTTTTTCATCAACTTCATAACCTCCCAATTCTGTAAAAAGAAAACGTATCAGGTGGTCTATTGGATACATCTAACCAGTTTACAGAATTATCGATAAATGATATTTACCAGTTATTCTCTAGAATGTAAAAAGGGGGCGGTTATGGCCCTCGGGCTGTAACATGCTGTGGGAATATTATGCTTATTCAATAATGAAGTGGCCATAACATCATTAACAGAAAATCCTACATACTTTGACGCAGATCATTGACAATATCAACAGCAGCATCAATTTCCAAATCTTCCCAATCGTCTTTGCCTAGCAACTTTACTTGTTTGGCTACTGGCATTTGTCCGAAAGGCATTTCTGTGGAGAAAAATATTTGCGAGTCGCAAGATTGCAGAAACTTTATAAACATCTCTTAAACAGAAAGCTGGTCGATGAACTTACTTGACTTGTGCTGAGGCCACTGTTCCTTTTCGATACGAATATCTTCAAATTCAATTCCTCCATAGCTAAAAAGGAATGTTATAGGCTGTCCAAGAGCGGTAATGTTGAAGTAAGATACCTTGTATGCTGGTGCCATCTTTCAATACTCTGCAACAACCGATGCTCAATTGCTCTATCTTAACTGTTACAAGTCATTTCATTCTTAGGGCGCTTAAACATACTGTACTTATTCAAACATGTTTTTTGGATTGTCTGTGGAGTTATGACAGAAACTAAGTACTCACTATTATTATTTTTTTTAATTCAAAATCAACTGTAATGCACTGTAATCGCGATAATGAGATATGTTTTTTTGGTACACATGCACATCCTGACCCAAGTCCGCTAATTCTTGACCCGTCTATAACTTGGAAAGTATTGCTCGGATTTTGACAGAATTTTCACACAAGGTTACTACTAAACTAAGGACGAAGAGGTTTGTAGTTTTTGAAAACATATCCAGTGGCGGATCAGCGATAAAAAATTTACTGGAACTTCGTTTTTTGACGTTTCAGAGGCTTCTAACCCCGGTAGACAGAGATCATACATTTTTTGCACTTGAAACTTAAAATTATAGAAATATTTCAACTCTGCCCACGCCCAGTGCGACGGAAAGCACTACATATTATAAAGTTCCCCACCAGCGCGTCTGCTGGAACGCCATATACTCAAAAACCACCCAACTGACTCAAATATGACGAAATTGTTACCAGGTAACAAACAAATGATCATAAAAACACTTTATTTGGCGAATGCCGCAAAACCTATTGATGCTACATAAAACAAAATAGTAAATGTTTATCGTACTCATTACGGTTACAAAAGAGTCAGCAACGCTATAATCCTAAAAATTATACTTAAGTCACAATAAACGATTCTATATAAAACAAAATATTAGATGTTTATCGTACTCATTACGGTTACAAAAGCGTCAGCAACGCTACAATCCTAAAAATTATACTCAAGTCACAATAATCGATTCTATATAAAACAAAATATTAGATGTTTATCGTACTCATTACGGTCACAAAAGAGTCAGCAACGCTACAATCCTAAAAATTATACTTAAGTCACAATAATCGATTCTCATTCAAAGTAGTCAACCACTTGTACGATTACATATAGGGTCTAGGCGAGTACAAGCAACCCTCTACTAGCCGAGTCGTAATAGTGATTGCCGACTGAGCGGGAGAGAGGTGGGGGCTGGCAAGTTGACATTTTATCGCTTTTTCACGTTTTATAGATTTTTTACGTAATAACCCTGCCATTCTTAATAAAGTCTGCCGATCCTATCTAGTATGATGCAGTACAGTACAATAGAAGTAAACTTCCATAAACACCCTTTATCACGAGATCTAGATATGTGTCTCCGATAGCAGGGTTATCCTATCCCTCCAAAGTGTTTTAAGTTTCAGACGACTGAGAAACGGCCCAGTTTCTTATTTAGGGTTTCCTTAAATTAAGCGGGGTATCTCGTCGACAGTAATGTGCAAACTTTTTATTTGTTCCCCTTTTTCCATTCTTTTTTCTCCGGCAAAATAATTTTAAAGTGGCCTCGGTGACGCAGGCGATTTTTTCCGACAATTGTCGTCGACCGCAAAGTTTCTGATCGAAGAAACGCTGAAAGTTGAAGTTTGAGAGTAGAGCAAAGTGAAATCGGGCATGGTTAATGCATAGATACGGTTCTGGTTACATTTCTTTCTTTGATTGTGAAGTTTATGTAGTAGGTCATATTGGATTTTATTGTATGAATGCAGGGTGACCGAAAAATTGGACATATCGCCTAAAACGTGTCATACCAAAAAAAAAGGATCTAAAACCAATCTTTACAACGTCAGGTTTGTAGCTCTGCTTTCTGTTATAAGTTCAATTGAATTCAATTTCGTCATGAAGAAACATCATAAACAAAGGAAATTCTACAATATAGAGCAATGGCGAAAAAGGACAGTCTCTCGATTATAAAACCGATACATTGGACCCTTTGATACAAAGAGTCCAGGCGAGAAAGCTCTGAACACCCTAAAAATCCTTAAACAAGATAAAAAAACAATAAAGAGGCGTTAAAACACAAAAAGGCAAAAACGAAGAAAGAACCTCCGGGAGCTGACAACGGACGCGAAGAACAACTCTATACAACTTGTCAGCGAGTGGGAATGTAAAAACGTATTTTTGCTCACACAAACGTCAGTTTTGAGAATTTTTTTGGCAATGAGCTTTAAACTGAAGTTCGTAAATTATTCCATAAGTGAACCGCCACATAAGCAAACGATCGTCGGAAGGAACGCGTTCTAGGCCTGGGTACGATAAAATTGAGATTATTTCTGCTCCTCTGGGCACGGGGCAAAGGCACAAATCTTCTTCTTAAATAGAGCGGTTGACCTGTTTTTATAACCCTATAGATAAAAGAATACATGTGATATTTTCTGCGACTCGACATTTTTAATATGTTGTAGTTATAATATAAGCAGTGATATGGTTTCGATATGGAATTCCAAACGCAAACCGCATGCAACTATTTTGAACTTCTTGTATGCATTTTTTGGTTCGCGACGATAGCGAATCACCATAGTCAAAAAGTGATAAAATTAAGGTATTACACAAATAATATTTTTGTTTGGCTGATAAATGTTTATTTAATTTGTTTATACTTCTTAGTCGCATGTAAGCTAAATTTGTTCTGTTTTTTATATGACCTCCGAAGCCAAGCGAGCTATCAAATATAATGCCTAGATTTTTTGTCTCCTGAACCATGGGGATTCTGTCATTGTTAATATAAATTACTAATTTTTTTTCTCTTTCATTACCGTTTTTATTCATAACCATTACTTGCCATCTTGAGGGGTTTAGTTTAAGATTGTGATGCTTTGCAAATCTGTCAACACTTTGGAGATCTGAATTTAGTTGTTGTTGTGCAATATGGATTGTGGGTTTATTGAAAGGGAGATATATTTGTGAGTCATCTGCATATTGTTTTATCTTTGCGAATTTTAACGATTTGACCATGTCAGATATGTAGATTGAAAATAGCAAAGGAGATAAAATTGAACCTTGAGGAACTCCTCTTTTTATAGGTTTAAAATCCGTTTTGTAAATAGCAGAATCATTTGCTAACATAACACAGTTTGAACGGTTGCTTAAGTATGTTTTTATTAGATTTACGGAGCTCTGCTAAAACCTCTGGTAATCTAACTTGGCTAGTAACATTTCATGATATGACCTCCGAAGCCAAGCGAGCTATCAAATATAATGCCTAGATTTTTTGTCTCCTGAACCATGGGGATTCTGTCATTGTTAATATAAATTACTAATTTTTTTTCTCTTTCATTACCGTTTTTATTCATAACCATTACTTGCCATCTTGAGGGGTTTAGTTTAAGATTGTGATGCTTTGCAAATCTGTCAACACTTTGGAGATCTGAATTTAGTTGTTGTTGTGCAATATGGATTGTGGGTTTATTGAAAGGGAGATATATTTGTGAGTCATCTGCATATTGTTTTATCTTTGCGAATTTTAACGATTTGACCATGTCAGATATGTAGATTGAAAATAGCAAAGGAGATAAAATTGAACCTTGAGGAACTCCTCTTTTTATAGGTTTAAAATCCGTTTTGTAAATAGCAGAATCATTTGCTAACATAAGACAGTTTGAACGGTTGCTTAAGTATGTTTTTATTAGATTTACGGAGCTCTGCTAAAACCTCTGGTAATCTAACTTGGCTAGTAACATTTCATGATTCAGAGTGTCGAACGCTTACTAAAATCGAGAAGATCCATGCACGTACTATTTTTTTGTTCTTGATGATGTCTGATATCATCCAAGATATTAACCAATTATGTACTTGTGCTAAATTTTTTCCTAAAACCGGATTGACTATTGGGTATGATATCGTTTGTCACAAAAAAATCTAACTTGATTATAAATATGCCTTTCTAATATTTTGTATGTAGCGAGTAATACCCTAATAGGCCTCAAGTCTGTAAATTCTTTAGGTTCTGCTATTTTTGGTAAGGGTTTATCAATGGCTTTCTTCCATATTTCTGGAAATAATCCCTCCAAAATACATGTGTTGATTATATTCAGCATGGCATTCGTACAAAATGGGATACATAACTTTAGGTCTCTCATAGAGAAACCATCCTCTCCAATGGCACTTGATGAGATATTAGTTACAATTTTGATTAGACTGGCCCTGTCTAACAGTTGGAAGCTAAGAGGATCGTTAACGTTTACATTGTTTTTGTAAAAATTGATTAATTCTTGGGAAGCAGTGTCTGGTAAATTGTTGGTCTGTTGGAAGTAATTGTGTATGTCTGTATGTCATTTACATTTTGTAAGTGTTCGGGAATAGTTGAGTGAGTTTTCTTGCATGTTATATTGAGCTTTTTGGTAGTGTCTCAAAATTCCTCACCTTTCTTTGTTAAGAGTAAGCTAAAGAATGTATTCCTTTCTCAGATAATTGCATGCTTTTTATAGTTCCTTAGTTATTTATAATATTCAAAATGAGCCTGTGATTTGGATTTTTGAAATTTTTTATGAGCTTTATCTCTTAGTCTAATAAGAATTCTTATGTCTTGAGTTATCCGGGGTACATACGGTTTTTCGGTTATTTCAATTGATATACAAATTTCGGGAGAATCTTGCTTTGACCAGTTTATATATTTGAAAAATTTCTTGACGACCAATATAGATCTTCTGTCCGAGGAATGGAATTGTAAATCTGTTGAAGAAAGATGGATTCACTTTTTAAAAAACCCCGACCATTTGGACCAAAAATCAGAATTCATTAAAAATATGTGAATACTTATTTTCAATTCCTTCACATAATGCCAATTCTGAGAGAATTTTTTCCTTAACGTCAACTCAATGGACCGACGAAAGGGCACAAACTGTAGAAGCAATTTTGCAATGTCAGTATAAATTTAAAATGTGTGCTGAATTTTATAAATATATGAAAACGCAAAAAGATATTTTAAAAAAAGTAAAATCCTCGGAAATATATCATTTATCAATTTTTTTTTGGCCTCTTTTGTACGTATTTACCTTTAGGTAGAAGTTTCAACTGAAATACCCTGTATACCTTTTATGTTTGTTAGTTAAGAAATGTTATAGGTTATAGATAATGTTCATAATGTTTGCATTTTATTTTTGTTGAATAAAGTTTTTTTTTCCCCCCGGTGAATGTGTCCCGACATTGGCTAAACCATTTATGGCAACCCTAGTCACGAGACATGTTGGGCCGTATTGTCAGTCGTTCCCACAATTATTGTAGGAACGCTTTTATGGCCTCCTTGATTCTCAGGATGAAGAAATGTCTTGCCTAAAAATTGGCAAGTTTGCCCAGAACTTGACCAATATTTTACTCCGCTCGGAAGGGGGGGGCTGCCCCCGTATTATACGCCACTGCATATGTCTTCATATAATAATATACGTATATGTCTTTGTTGCATCATTAACATCACAGCGTAACATTGCACGATGAAAATGCCGGAGTCTAGCCATTGGTCAGTCTGCTCAACCCATATCTGGATATATTAAAAAAAGTCTAAATTAAGTATAGGTATACTATTTACTATAAAATATATTAATGTGTTTTATGTGATACTTGATGAAGTATAGAATGCTGTTGGTGTACATAAGATATATTCAACAAAGACTAAGTAATAGTGAATTAAAATGATGATGATTTGCTGTATTCCTAATATTGATGTCTAATGCATTATAATATTTGGCTTCGCTATGAGTAAGAACGCTGAAACCTGGCTGTGTGATGTTTTGGTATGGACAATGTGCTCGTGTATCTTAAATTTAAATCATGAATGTTTACTCTAAATGTTAGCTTGTTCCATAAACGTAGTGGTGACTGAGTGGTTGTAATGAATTTTATGAATGATAAAAATAAATATTTGAACAGATTATTCATTTTGAGCCAAGTGACTATTGGTATACAGAGCGTGTGGTCCATGACTCACAAAATTTTTTGGGCGATTGGGGACGCTATTTGATGATTTGTGGTGATAACCGCAATGCTCTACGGGGTTACCGAGACATGATAGTTTTTCGTTTTTTTTTTCTGCTGGACGACCTACAATTTGGCATAAGTATCGTTATAACTTTTTTTGTTTCTAGAGATAATGACACAAAATCAACGTGAGTCTGTTCTGTGATGTACGAGTATACCCAATCAAAATTTTTTCAAACAAATAATTTATGACCTTTCAAAGTCGTACAATTACGGGGAGTGTCTAAATAATTTCAAATTCGGAAGTCGATTATAAAAAAACAATACCTTTTTTGAAAGCTGGTTTTACTTACAAAACTTTTGTGATTTATTGCCCTTCCAGCCATATGCCACACATCATAGAAAAAATATGTGAACAGTGGATTAGGTTCAGGAACAAATAATTTGTTGTTTCAGTATTTTCGAAATGACTGCCTCCATTTCTGAGACATGTCCTATACATCGTTCGTATTTGATCGGCTGTTGTCCAAAGCCGCTTCCCTTCCTTCACTAACTAATTCCTTCGCTCGCCCCCAGACGTAAAAATCCAGGTGTCAGGTCTAGCGACCGTGGAGGCCAAGGAATATTACCACCTCTACCAACCCACGCGAATAGTATAATAGTTTCAGCTTAAAATAGCATCTATTGATGACGCTGTTAACACGTGAAGGGATAACCCCTGGAAGGTTGGCAAGCCTTTCCTGGCGGTTCAAGAAAATAGTGCTTTCCAAAGTTAATTGCTGTCAGAGCGCCAATTCAATATCCCAGCTTCCGCAGTCGCTGTCGGAACAGAAAAACATTTCTAAAATGAACTGCCTACCAAAATCAATGAGCCTCCATAAATAACGAAAGATTTACGAGGACATCCCCACGACAGCGTACCTAGACTTTCGAGAAGTTTTATTGAAGGCCGAAGGTCGAAAATTTAGTATCCGGGTAGTCGGTGTATTTTTTTTTCTCTCCCCACTGCTCCGTTGCGGTCTATAAAAAGTAGCCTCGATAATTGAAAGATCACGGTGATGGGTTTGCAGCCGCTTCTTCTTGTTGTTTCCAAATGACAAGGGTTGTTTTTGTTGGATCGTTTCACTTTGCTCTGCTTCCGAGAATACACTACGCTGATATCGGGTGCGAGAAAATAACGGATGGACGGAAGATGGTGCGGAAGACATCGTTCCTTCAAAGCAGAGTCGGATCTGGGGTCAAATCAGAACCGTCTACCTCTCGGCTCCACGCTGGATCACCTTAGGAAAAAGGTCCAAAAAAATTGGATTGATTGTACAGGCCCACAAGATTTCTACCCAGAAGCTAAAGCTCCGGTTACGCTGAAACCAAATCGGTGGTTAAAATCTCCCGATTGTTTCTAGGTTTCAAGATGTCTTAGCATAGGTCGCATAAGCGATGTTTGCCTACATTTGGCATATAGCATGGCAAGTAAAATAGGAGCCTTGCTCATTCGAATGCTTTTCAGTTTGCTAAAATATCTTTTTTTTTTAGCTGACAGGATTCCGAAATTTAATTTTCTGCAGTATATGTACTTTAGGATAAGTTGTGCATCAAAGTTATATTTTGGGTTATAACACAACAAAAATGTAATAACAAGTTGGTGTAATTTATAAGACTTGTCAATTACCTAAAACTCACCCAAACCACAAGCCCACAACCCACCATACCTTAACAAGGCCGAGTTTAATCTTCTACTTCCGATTGGATACTTTTTTAAATAAGAATTAGCCTCGTCTGATAAGAGCTGAACCGATCTAGCTTATAATATACAAAACTTACCCATACCATAAGTTCTCAACCCACCCTACCCTATCTGGACCGAAGAGAATAAATACTATGATAGATATACAGATAGATTGATATATGGATAATCAAATATGGAGTGGTAAGTTTTGGATATTTTATGCTAGAACGGTGCAGTTTTTATCAGAAAAAAACTAGTTTTTTATTTTAAAAAAGTGTGCAGTTGAAAGTTACGCTGAGCTCGGTTCTTAAAGGGCATGGTTGGTAATGAGCTTGTGGTTTGACTTAGACTCTTTGTGGATTTGCCAGTGGTCGCCAACCTTTTTAGTGTTTGAGCTACTTTGACAATTTTGTAATAAACAGTGAGCTATCAAGTCGTAGGCAATCAAAGCCAATTTAAATGAAATTATACATAGTTGTATGCGACATACATTTGTCTAGTTTACTAATACTAATACATACTAAATAAACTTAAATAAACTTATAACTAACATACTACATAACTAAATCCATTCCTACCAATAGTAGGTGTTTAAAAAATAGAAAAAATGTTTCGTCTGCTACAATGACATGTCACATACGATTTAATAAAGGTAACTAAAAATAAAAAAATCAAACCAAATTAAACCAAAACATGTCGAGATAAAAATGCGTGTTCAGTGAGAAGCCTCACATTTAGACTCAATGACAATTTTTGTTTGGAGTATAATATGATATGGAAGTGTTCATCTGTAAGTCGATTTCGGTATTCGTTTTTAATAACTTTCATATCTGAAAAAGAAGATTTACACAAACAGGTTGAATTATATGTATAATGTTTTTACTTTCAAGGCAACACGACATGAAACTGAATATTTATCTTTACTTACTGAAGGTCAGATATATTTTGTATTTGAGACTAATGATTTTATCGCTAAACCATTTTGAAACGCAATCACTTCCATTTTTGCCGCAGCGGTGTCTTCGCTAAAATTCTGCGTAGCAGAAGTTGTAAACTGTTGGATATCAGTTTCCATTAAGGGTGAAACAACACTATAGCAATTTCGTTAAAATCCCTGAAACGATTTTTGAAGTTATTTTTTAAGTTAGAGAATATTTCTACATGATATTTGCTGACATATAGCTCTAATGGACTTTGAGAAATATGTTCTGAAAGAACAGGAAGATGACTGGTATCGCCATCGATTAAGTTTTGTTCCCAAAACTTAAGCTTTTTGATAAATGCTTTTATATCAGAAATCATTTCTGCTAGTTCTTTGTCTCTCCCCTGAAGCAGCAAATTAAGTTCTTTTAGTTTTTCTGTAATATCCTCAAGAAAACCAAAATCTCTAAGCCAGATTGAACTTTCCAGTTCCGGAATCGGTTCATCACGTTGTATGAAAAATTGAACTATGGCAGATATGATATCACCAAAGCGTTTCAGCACTTGTCCCCTACTTAAACATCGGTCATCGTAGTGAGGAAGTAGTCCCCGTATTGACAGTCAATCAGCGGCCAAGGTTGTGAATAATCTTCTTTGTACCGCTTGAGCTCTGATCTTGTTCAGAACTTTTACTACCAATTTCATAACGTTGTTTAGTTTTAGAAAATATCCACATAATGCTTGCTGATGGATAATGTAGTGGTAGGTAACAGAGAAATTGCGGAAAACTTTCATATTTACGGCACAACCCCACGAGACCTTCATCACGACATACCATAGCTGGAGCGCCATCGACTGTCAAGCCTACCATTTTCGAGTTTTCTCAGAAGAAATAATATTCTTAAAATCCTGACGAACTCGGCCATCTGAGAGGTGGATTCATCCAGCTGCAGTAAAAAATCATCACAGTTATCGAAGTCATTTTTCAACTGTAAAAATATATCATTGCTCATTACTTCTACTCGTCTCATCACTGTATTGGCAGAAAGTTGCATACATTTTATAGCATAGCAGACACTATCTCGTCTTTATTTCTAAAGTTGGCAAATAATGAATCTGCAGCTTCTAAAAACGCCTGTTTTATCATTTTCCTGTCTTCATAAGCTTTCTTTTTTTGTGTAATTATCTGGAACACCCGGTATGATGCTGCAGTTGCAACCTTACTTTTGTCGATTGTTTTTAAAAACATTGTCTGTTGTCCAATTAACTGATTTTTCAATTGTTTTAGTTTCTCCGTTCTTGTTGCAGAACATAATGGGAATGATTTTTCAAAATTCGAATTTAAAGTTTTATAGTGCCTCTCGATATTCCGTTTTTTAGGAACGGAGGCAGATGTATTACATATAAAACGAACATGTTTTCCCTTCACTTCTGTGAAGAAATATTGTTCTTCCCATTCCAAATGAAAGTGATATGTCTTCATATTCTTACTACTGCTCATACTGTTTTTAATTGCAGGCCAACTCTAACCCACCCGCCGGACTTTGTGCCGTTCAGTTTTAAACTGAGCGCACTGTTTTTTTTTTTTTTTTTTTTTTTAACGAGGGGGGAATGCATTTACGCATCATACCATAGCACGAGCTACGGCGTGTGTGGGGCTCCAGGGTCTTGAGGAGATCACCTAATACCCACTAAACCCTAAACCTCCGCGTGGCCCGACTCATCAGCGTCTCGGTAGGCCATGTGTTGTGCGTGACCTGCGGTCTGCTACAACGTCTCCTCATGTGTTTCAGTCTCTGGGAACGCCGGGTTGGTTCCCTTTACCTCGCACATTCTATCGATGTCGTTAAGCGATCATCGATAGAGGGTCTGCTAGTTTCTCTTGAAACTCTTGTTTTCGAAAAATCAAGAGTTTCAAGTCCTCTTACCAATATGTTGTTCCTGGTCCTGGTCCTGAAGGGTCCTGGTCCTGGTGGGTCCTGGTCGTGGCGGGTCCTGGTCCTGGTTGGTCCTGGTCCCGGTGGTTCCTGGTCCTCTGCATCCACGCCGTGGGGTGGGGGGGGGGAGCAGCTGCAAGTTCTCCTAGTCTCCTAGTCAAGGTTCCAGTTAGCGGGTGCCAACTGGGACCTTGGTCTGGGTACCTGGTTCTGCGGTTGCGAGGCCTCTCGTCCGGATCGTAGTCCATGAGGAATCGTAGCTGCTCGTTCGGGTGGTCCTGAGCTTTCTCGAAGGTCTTCTCCGCTTTTTTCCTCATGTACTCGTGGATGGTATCCCAATGCAGGTCTCTACGCAAGGCTGAGTTCCTTACGTAGGAAGGTGCATTGGTGGCGATCCGGAGTAGCTTCATCTCTAGAGCAGCAAGTCGCTTGCGGTAGCTGGGGGCAGCGTACCCCCAGACCGCGGAGGCGTAAGCGAGCTGAGGTCTGGCGATGGCCTTGATCAGCCGTAGCTTGGTCGCTAGCGGCATCTGGCTGTGTCTACCCAGTAATGGATAGAGTTGAGCCATGGCTGCTCTGGTTTTTGCGATGACAGCTTCTATGTGCGCTTTCCAGGTGAGGGACTTGTCAAAAACGATCCCCAGATATTTGACATTGTCGCTCCACTGGATATCTTCATCGAAGCTGGATGCTTCGAGAGGTCTTGCAATCCTTCTTCGTTGAATGAAGATTGCCTGCGTCTTCTGGACGTTGATGCGGATTTTCCATTTCACGCACCAGTCCTGAATTTGGTCCAGTTCATCCTGTAGTCTCCTACGGATGATCTCGGGTCGTCTATGCTTGGCGGCTATAGCAGTGTCGTCTGCATATAGGGCCAGCATTGTGTCAGCTGTCTTCGGCACATCGTAAGTATAGATGTTGTAGAGCAGGGGGGCTAAGGCTGACCCCTGGGGCACGCCTGCTTCCAGCTGTCGTCTTGTTGAATGGCATGTACCAATCTTCACCGTGAACCATCTTTGTGTTAGATAGCTCTGGATTAGTTGGCACATGTTCGCATCGATTCCGGCGGCTTCCATTTTGGCGATGAGTCCATCGTGCCAAACTCGGTCGAAGGCTCGTTCCACGTCCAGCAGGACGAGACCGGTTGCCTCCTGGAGATTGAAGCCGCTGGTGATGTTTTCTGTCAGTCGTAGCGCTTGGAGTTCCGTGTTGTGCGAGGATCTGAAGCCGAATTGCTCTGGGGGGAGAAGTTGCAGTTCTTCTGCCTGCTTCTCTAGTCGAACGGCGATAGCCTTTTCGACTACTTTGCCCATCGAGGAAACCAGGCTGATGGGCCGGTAGTTCTGGGGCAACTTCCGGTCCTTGCCTGGCTTGGTGAGCATTATAACCTGGGCTTCCCGCCACCGCCGCGGGAAGTGGTTAAGTCTCAGGGTGGCATTGGCGATGTTGGTGAGCGCAGCAATGCCTTTGGTGGGAAGGTTCTTCAGCATCCTGTTGTTGATGCCGTCCCTTCCCGGCGCCTTTCTGACCTTCAACCTGCGGATGATCAGACGGATTTCCTCTGGACTGGAGGGGTGATCCGTCTCCTGGCCAGGTGGTCGACTCCTCATGTTTTCGGCTGCGACTTCCACGGCCTCCTCATGGTTGTCGTCCTCGTCTTCATGGTAATTGAGTCTGCATTCGGATTCTAGCGAATCGGCGAATGCTTCGGCTTCTAGCGAATCGGCGAATGCTTCGGCTTTTTCTTCACTGGAGTAGGCCAAGCCGCGTTGGCCGTGAAGAGTGGGGATCGTGGTGCGCTGACGACGAAATTTTCGCTGCATAGACCAGGCCGTACCATCCTGGGTCTCTAGTTCTGCACAGGCTGCATTCCATCTGCTGTTTTGGAGTTCCGCGAGTGCGTTCTTCAGAGCTAACGATGCTCTGTTTCGCGCAACTCTCGACTCCTCTGTCAACAGTTGGAGATGTTCTCGCTTGAGTCTTCTGTTCTCCCTGATCAGGTGCCTAATATGGTGCGGTGCTGGACCATTTAGGTGTCTAGGAACTGCCGTAGTCTCGAAGCGGGTGCTGTCCTCGTGCGCTCGCAGGACAGCATTCTCCAGCTCCTCTACTGCGTTGTCCAGTTCCTCCGCTGATCGGATGGTTGGAATTTGAGTGATGTTCCTTTGGACGTTGGATTTGTACAGGTTCCAGTTCGTCCGTTTGGTGCTCAAGCTATCTCGAGTTCTAGACCCTGTGCCAAGTGTTAGTAGAATCGGATTGTGGTCCGACGATCCTTCCACCAGGGTCTCTATCTCGAACTCCTCTCTGATGTTGCGGAGGATGGCTATGTCCAGTACCGCAGGTCGCCCAAGGCCGAATGGAATGTAGGTTGGTTGCTCCGGACCGACGATGACCCCCGCCAGGGCATCGACGTGTTCCTGGAGCTGCCTTGCATTCCTGTCTGCGACGTTGTTGTTCCATGCCGGAGACTTGCAGTTTAGATCTCCGATGACTATGCGTGCTCCTGGGCCTCTCAGGAGGTCAGCGATGTCATCTTCGTCTAGGGCCTCCCCTGGTGGCACATATAGGGAGGTGATTCTGTAGGGACGGTGGTTGTGATGGACCTGAACCTTCTGTCGTAGCGGTACGTCTCGTACCGCGGGAACGTCAGACTATGGGCAGCTTCCAATTTCGTTTCTTGGATGGCCATCACCTCTGGTTGGTACTGGTCTAGTATCTCCTGGATTTCTGGTTTCCGTGCCCTGAATCCGTTGATGTTCCAGGAGATAATGCGTAGAGATTCTACGTTTTGCCCTGTAGTCATTTCGGGTCTAATGCTTTTCTTGCATCTTGGCCTCGAGTGCATCCAGGCGGGTTATGATGGCTTGCATCATTGCTAGCAGTCTGTCATCGCCGTGTTGCTTCTGCGCAGTAGTTCCAGTAGCAGTGGCGGCTGCTGGGGCAGAAGTAGACACAGGTTTCTTCGCTTTTTGAGCGTAAGAAGTCCTATTTGTGGTGGGGACTGCTTTGGGGGTAGAAGCAGCTTTCTTCGGGGCCTTACTACATCCCTTGTAGTTGGCGGGGTGGCCTTCTCCACAGAGGCAACACTTGGCGTTTCGTTGCCCTGTTGGCGGCGCTGGCAGACTGCAGCTGGTGCTGTTGTGGTCCTCTCCACACTTAACGCACCGTTCAGCGAGACGGCAGTTCCACTGTGTGTGCCCGTACCGCTGGCAGCGGTAACATTGGCTGGGCTCGGAAGACTTTTTCTTCCTCTCGAAGCTGACCGTGAGCATGGCCAGCCTCTGGATGTCTGCAAGCTTTTCCGGCATCTTCGTCTTGACGAGGAAGAGCGGAAGTGGCTTCTTAGTGGTCCTTGAGGTCATCTGCTGAACCTCGGCGTCTGCGATGCCCTGGCTCACTAGATCCTCTTTGATGTCATTGACTGACATCTCCCTGGGAAGCCCACGAATGACCCTCTGGTCCATCCTGTCCTCCTTCAGTTGATAGGTGAAGAAGGGCCGCTTGATGGATTCCAGCAGTGTGACTAGCTGACGGTAGTCAGCTGGTGTATTTGTGAATACCTTCACACTGGTACCCGCCGTCCTCGCCTTGGAGAATTGAATCCCCTTGCTGTTCATCATCCTGCTTAAGGATGACCAATCAGCGGTGCCCTCGATATTGATTGGCGGAATTCCTGTTCCTGCCATGGGGGCCTCGGTGGTCCTGGTTGCTCTAGGAGCCTTCTTGGTGGCGGCAGCTGTCATCTTTGGCTGCCTTGGTGACTCATCTTCGGAGGAGGAAACTCGCACCCGCTTCCTCCGTCTGGTGGCGACACTGAAGTCGTTGTCGTCCGTCCTCTTCTCGGCTTCTTCTTCCTTCGGTCCTTCGGTCCGTTGAGTGCCCTCTTCTTGGGCGTCCATCTCGTCCGACGTAGCCTGGTGGTCCTCTTCCTCCTCTTCTCCTGTCTTCTTAGCGGCCTTCTTCTTGGCCCTGCGGAGCTTCCCGCTCAGGTCCTCGATCTCCTGTCTGGCCTGCAAGAAGGCTTCTTGCAGGTTTCGCATCTGAGAGCGCACTGTCGCCGCACGTTGCGTATTTATTCGGTTCAAAGTAATCGAGATCATTCTCGGACAGGTCGCTCACCGCAGTGTTGCCGCAGCTTGTGTTTATTATGAGAATTTACAAAATTTACTGAGGCTTCTATGATTTTTACGCCTTTTTAAGATATTTTTTGAGCCACCAGAATTGCCTTTGCGATCTACCGGTAGCACGCGATCGACGGATTGACGACCACTAGTTTATGGGTATTTTGAGCGGAGTAAAGATTACTTACCAAAATTAATATTGTAAAATAGATATGAAAGCGTACACAGTTTAGAATGGTAAGCAAACAGTAAACCCACAGAAGCAAGCTTGTACGCGTACGTATTACAAAAACATTAATCTGGCATGGATATTATAGTAACAGTCACGCAGGTATTCCACTATAAAATAGTTCACACACTTGAAAACAATTCTACTAAAATCGTTTCACAATACTGTTCATAAAACCGGTAAGGTAATTCAAAGTCGGTAATTTGAAAATGTATAATGAAAACAAGCATATAAATTCATTGAAATAAAAGTTCGGTTTCAGTAAAATTAGAGGAAGAGAGAAAATGGATAAAAAGACAAAGTATACAGTACAGTACAGTATAAGTATGGTGACATCACAGCAACAGTTTCTATACATTTACGAGACCTATACAATCATCGACAATATTAAGTCACAGATGTTACATCTTGTATGTTCTGCCGAGAGGTTTTTAAGATCCACAACTTAAATTAATTTTTGGCTGAAGGCATTAAAACCTTTTGACAGAAGTACCTGTGACTGCTTAGGATAACTGCTTTATAAATGTTTGGGAGTCTCAATTGTACATCCCGTTGTCTTGTATTGTGACAGTGATGTATGTAATCACTATCACCTTTATGTAAGTGCTGAAATATGGCTAGCTGTTGGAAAATAATTGTCTGATAATATACTAAGTGACATATAAATCCGAACACCCAGTTTAAATGGTTTCATTTTAATAAAATTTTGTATAAGTACTTAATGAAGCATAATAAGTAAATGATAAAAATTTTAAAATGATTGCACTGCTTTAAAGCCCTTTGACCTTTAATAATGTATGGATGCACCCTGATGTGCTACGCATTCTCCAACGCGCCTAGGCATGCTTCTGATCAGGTGGTCAATGTCCTCCTGTGGTATCTCATTCCAGGCAACCACCAACTCCTCTCGATGTGCTTCTAGAGTCTGAGGAGGACGTTGCAAATTGAGCAGTCTCCTACCCATCATATCCCACACGTTCTCAATTGGGGATAAGTCGGGAGATCTTGGTGGCCATAGTAACAATGTGACATCATTATGTTGAAAGAAGTCTATTGTGACTCTTGCAACATGTGGTCGGGCATTATCTTGTTGGAAAGTTGGATCTGCCAGGGTGTCAAGATAGGGTAAAAGATGGGGATCTAGAACTTCGTGGATATAACGCTGCGCGTTCATGTTACCTCTGATGAAGATTAAAGGTGACCTGGAACCATAAGCTATAGCACCCCAAACCATAACTCCAACAGTGTGATGAACATGTCTTTCAACAAAAAACTGTGGATTCCTCCTTTCACCACGTCGCCTTCTAGCCCTGGCACGACCATCGTGCATGCCTAAACAAAAATCGAGACTCGTCACTAAAGACAATACTGTTCCATTCCTGATTCCAGAGTGACCGTTGTCTGCACCACTCAAGGCGATTACGTCGGTGTTCTCGAGTTAAAGGGAGGACCCAGTGTGGCCGGTATGAAAACAAGCCAAAACTTCTCATTCGTCGGTAAACACTTCGCATACCAATAGGTCTTCCGTGTTCTGCAAACCATTCATTTGCAATGGACCTGGTAGTGGAGAAACGGTCCCTTAAGGCCAATAATCTTAGGCGGCGATCTTCACGGTCTGTTGTTCTACGGCGGCGTCCAGTGCCCCTTGCTCTTTGCGTACGGCCTTCTCGAAGCCATGCCTGACAACACCTAACCACAGTGTCTACACTTCTTTGCACTCTAACTGCAATTGCCCGAAAAGAAAGTCCAGCTTCCCGAAGTCCCACTATACGGCCCCTATCAACCTCACTAAGTTGACGAAATCGTACAGGTCTCCGTACTCTAGGCATCGTAACCGATCGTAAAGGATGTCAAGAACCAAAATCCGCCAACGTTGATTCTTTACTGCGGCTGAAATATTCATTTTTAGAGCGTTAGTGAATTAAAAAAAAGCAGTATAAAAACTGGAATATCCAACTGATAAGGCTGAAAATTTTTTCACTTGTTATTTACAGTAAGATAAACACATTCACCAACTTTTAAAATAAAACCATTTAAACTGGGTGTTCGGATTTATATGTCACTTAGTATAAATACTCCCGCTTATCTGTAAAGCTCACCAGAGAAGTATCCACCTCTGCATTATTTCCACTTTACTTAGGTATATACTTGCTAGGCTACCCTATACAATAATGCCATAATTGAGATGTGATCGAACCAAGGCAAAATACAAGGATCTCAGAATGACTGGGCCGAACATAGAAAATAATTTGAATTTTGGGATTAAGCTTCGTATTCTTTTAACCACCTGGCTGACATGTCCTGATGAAGTGGCAAGTCTTATTTCATACAAATACATTTAATTGTTATTACACTTTTGGTGTATTATAATACACACTACAACTCTGATGCACACGTGGCCATAACTTGCAGAGCGTCAAATATATAACGTAACCCTTTATTTTTCGCATAAAAATAACATTAATCTTCCAGAATGGTTTATGATTCATATCAACGAAGTAAACTCGTGTATTTTGCTATAAAATGCTCTTTGTATGTATGTATATTGCTCAATAAACTAGTAGTGATGGACGGAAAACAGGTGTTTCAGGATAAGCAATCAGAAATTCTCAAAAACTACTTGACCAATCGACAATTTTGTTGTGCTTATTTAGAGGTATGAAGCCTACGAATTTGAAGAATTTCAAGTAGCTGCGAGAAATTATCGTTGCATTTGCAACAAGACCTAAAATCTGCATGCCAGCACTTTCGATCGAATCCCAAAACACATGTTTTCCTATACTTTATAGTAGTGTAAAAGGTTTTTCCACAAAAATTGGTGTACCCATTTTGTACGTCCCTGTTTCAAATGCCTCCTTGAACACCTTGCATCAATAAAACCGTACTATACAATAATTCCGGGGAAATTTGCTAACATTATTGGACTAATTGTGAAACACAGAACAATGAAGTTGTCAAAGTGCCGCGTTTCAGAGGAAGAAAAAGGTATGTGAACTCAACGGCGTTTGATAGGTCAGGGCTTGTAATTTGAGATTATACGTATGTTTTCTTTTCATAATATAATTTGTTAAACTACATAACTTTTTTTGAGGAAAAAACACTTTTTTGCGGATTAAGGTTAGGATATCTCGAAAACCAGAGCCAGGGATACAAACTCAGTGCATCAAAAACCTTCGGTAAAGTATACTCTGGTTACTAAGTAGGAGCCCAAATAGCAATTATCACTCCTATTAGAGTTGCAAGAATGATTATACAGTATTCCTTACACAGCATTGTATACTGTAAGAACATTGGCAAAACCCTCTTAGAACAGCTATACAAGCGGAATGGGCACACCTAATAGGACACTTCAGTCATTTAAGTTGTTTAAGGGCTGCAGGTAACAGTTATACAACCAAAGTGTAAGCCTCTTGCAGCCGCTATAGGACATTTGCGTCAGTGCAAGATTCAGTTTTTGTCAACTGTACAACTATTCTGTTACGTGATTCTACTTTATTGCAACCAAACTATTTCTTATGTATTGTATAGACGAAGTAAAGAATATATAACTAACACAATACAGTCATCTTGTTTACTTACATATCGGCCATTGTGAGTTTCATACACAGGTATATGATAAACTTCTACACTATGATATAGGGCTATTGAATTACTTGCGCAGCAAATTTTATTGTGATTATCGTGCAAAGTAGTTGCGCAATTTCTACGGCTTCGTATTTGATTCATATTTTGATAATGATCTGCGTTAAATCTTCCACAAATCCTATATTTAGACACACTTTATATCTGTAATTTCGAACTGAAACACAATTATTTAATATCAAATAGAGGAATAAATGTTTGCCCAAGATGGCGGGTGGTTGTGTACAATCATGGCATCCTCCGTGTTGTCTTTAGTTTATTAGAATATTTTGGTGTCGCCTGCAGGTGCTGTACAACAATTTGACAAATGTCAGAAATGAAATACCGACAGAGTCGAATGGTTTACCTAGAATTTGTATCAGATCTATATCTTCTGTTTGAACAGTTGATAAAACCTTTTTAACCAATATCCATGCGTTATTTGTCTTAAAACATTGGTTATGGCATTTTGTCTAAAATATGACAGCAGAAAGTTAGGTTATGGTGAAGTTGTATACCAACATATTTAGCATATATACAGCCTTTAACAGTTACTAAACAACAGTTGTATAAGTGCTTCCGTTGGGAGCAATTTGTTGGCTAAAGTAGTAAATTTGCACAGCAAAACAACAAGGCTCGGGTTTGTTAT